CTAGGGGAAAGAGCGCTTCGGGGAGTCCTTCCCTGGGGTTGCAGAGACAGGCCAAGGGGGCTGCGTGCGAGTCACCCCAGCTGCTTCTCTACTTCCTAAAAGCACCTGCCATACTAACTGCTGGCTTGTGCTGCTGTGTTGACACAGTCTCAACCCCAGCCAGCATCCTCCCACTTAGCAAGGACCGCAGCGGAGCTGGCTGACTCTGCGGCGGCGCCTGTCACAGCAGCAACACAGCTGCCTTCAATTCTGGTCACCAGCCTCACTACACCTCTGCTCACGCTGTCTCTGTGCATGACGCACTGTGACACACACTGTGACCTCCACAGTCCACTAAAGGGACAGAGAGAGAGAGAAGTTGGTTCATGGCCTTCACATAAACCATCATTAGACCGACTTGTCCTGCCCAAAATAGGGTTGCTTCCCATAGACCAACCCATGTAGCTGAAGAGACGCAGACCTTGGGAGAAAAACAACATGTGGCAACATCTCCTCAGCTGCACAGAAGGGTTTAGAAAAACCAACCAGCAAGACAAGACTCAGGACTAATGATCTACACAAGATTTTTGGCTACTTACAGTTTCTCCTCTCTGTCCGGGGTGACCAGGCAATCCATCCTTTCCAGGAGGACCCTAGAAGAGAAAAACAGAGCGAGAAGGATCATGACCACTGGCTTGGTAGTTAAACTGCGATGAGGACTGAATCAAATCTGCTTGCATCCTTGCACTAATTCCCATTCATTTTTCAGTGAAATGGGGGTGCTCAAAAGCATAAAAGATACAGCCCTTTCCCACAAATCTCTCAAAGGAAGATTTATCTTACAGATCCAGACATGGAGAGAGCTGTCCACCACAGGGAAAGAAATCACTCCAAAAAGGTTTCTGAGGTGCCCCATCAGTGTATAATAATTGCAGAGATAGAAGTGTTACTCTGGTGTGCTGTCCTCCCAGTACACAGAGGGAAAAACAAAGAACAGAGCAACCGTGAAAGATCCTGGTGATATTGAATCATTAGGAAGTGAGCATTTATAATCAGCCACAATTTACTTGGCTATTTAAAATCTTAAACCGTTGAGGTATTATCATGATGTCTCAATATTGCCTTTTATTGGGTACGTCGCCACTTGTCAGAGAAGCAGCTAAGACTGAGTTGGCACAGGCAATCACAGCTGGATGGAAAATACTTAATGTATTTCTTTGCATGTTCTGGAAAGAGTTACTTACAGGGGGGCCTTTTGGTCCAGGAAATCCAGTTGGTCCTTGAGGCCCTGGTGGTCCCTGGGATGCAAAACGAGACAGAGAACGTGGTTAAAAAGCCTACACACTTTACTGTGAAATACCATCGTTTGAACAACAGACGAGCACAGAGATACAGAAAGCCGGTTTCCTCTCTGCCCCAAAGAAGTGTCACTAGCGTGCAAGCCCTGGCTGCACAGGGCCATCCCTTGAAAAAAAAAAAAATGCCTGGAGAAATAAGAACCACTGGGTACATTTACTTGACTTTGGCCTGTCTAGTTGGAAAAAGCACTACAAATGTTAAGGTTTTTGACCTCTTTGTACCTTTCCTTCCCAATGTAATGAAAAATAGCTCTCCTCCATCATAGCTCAAGTGAGAGCACCTGGGAGCCACCAGCTTGTATCTCAAGCAGAAATAAAAGGAGAGATCCTTGTAATTTCAGCGCCACTGCTCCCAACAGCAGTTTGAGCAGGGGCACAAAGTCCCTCTCGACGCTTCGGCTCTCCGGCACGCTCACGTCTCTCAGACGGCTGCTTCCCAAGAGCACCGTCAGCAGCAGCTCCCTCCTCCCCTACTGTCACAAGCAGCAGAGAGCAAAGCAGGAGGCCAATCTCAGGTACTTCCTACCTGGGCAATTTTGTCGAAAATTTACAAGGAAAAACACCCCTGCAGAAATAGAGGCTAAAATGATGAAAGTCCCAGCTATCTGGACTAGCATATCGTCCAGACTAGGATGCTATATCCTAGCATCTGTAGCCTGGAGAAAGGAGGAAGGGGTCTGGGAGGACCACCTGCCCCAGGCAACCGGGGCTCCAGCTGAATGAGCTTTCCCCTGCGCCACGGGGTGATGTCTGCACAGGGCATCCTCCATCAAAGCCCCGTTTGACCCTTCCTTGGAGAGTTCAGAAGGTGCCTGAGGGTTGCCGGTGGCTTGTGACACCTCTTTCCACAAGACCAAATTTAACTTGGGTTTCTAAACAGATTTTTACTTTTTGCTGCCTGATATATGCCCACCCTTCCCTGTTTCATGGGGGTACTTGGTTGGGCACTCACTGCAAAACACCTCAGCTCTGTCTCAGCACCATAAACCAGCTTCTTGGGCCATGTTAAACTAACAGACTTTTTCACTGATTTCTGCTGAAGCCCCACTGGATTGTCTTACCCTTTCGCCAGGAGGACCAGGGGGGCCATCACCACCAGAGTTGCCCTTTTAAGAATTAAAAAAAAATTTTTTTTTTAAATTAAAAACATATATCACCAATTCAGCTGCTTTGCACAAAGATTTTAAATGCCACCAACCACATGGCGACAACACACCCCACCGACTCCCCCTGCCCCTCTCCATTAATAATTCTCTATCAGGAGCCATGTCTGGTGACAAACGAGCAGCTGCTCATTCCCCCCAACATTGCTTAATAAAAATACAGGAAAGATAACGTCAGTGAGCTCAGGATATTTCCACTAGATAACGGTCTCCTTCTGTGAGATAAATGCTGCACCAAAGCCAAGGTATTTATCAAAAATTCATGCCGACACAAAGCCGAGACATTTATTTTTAAAGCAGGCAGTGCTGCTGCGATAATGTTTCATTATGAAAGCTTTGCTTCCATTACGCCAAGCGATTGATGTTCGCTTAATCGGTTTATCTAGTGGGTTCTGGCGCAGCGGAGAGCTTCACCATGCCATGATTGACCCACACACTCCTGGCTGGCTCGAAGAACAATGCCTATTGTGTTCGCTGGCCAATCCTCGGCCATCGGTTTGCATGGAAAGTGGGTTTGGCTACAGGTGGGTGAGGAGCGAGGCCCTGCGGTGAACCGGGCTCCACCGCGGATGGGTCCCTACGAGACCTCCAGGGCAGATTCGATGCCACCAGAGCGCTGCAAAGCTGGGCGCCTGCGAAGAGCCAGTGTCACGCTGGTCCTTGGAGCGGCGAGCGCCCTCCCCTTCGCCTCGCAGCGGCCCCCAGTTCCTGCAGCTGCTACATCTCCTACTGGAACACGGGCCACCACGCTTTTAGGACCTGTGCGTGTACTTTATGGTTGGGTTATGAGACATTTGGCTGGGTAACGAAGATTAGGAGGGCTCAGCTTTCAAAATACAACGTTTTTCTCTGGAGGAGAAGGGAAATGGAGAGCAATGAACCAGATGGTCTCTTATATCACTGCTTTTTAAGACACAGTTCCTTCTCTAACTACTGTTAAAGGCTCTCTAAAATCTTACCTTTGGGCCAGGCTTCCCAGTGCTTCCCCTAGGGCCTCTTTCCCCACGTGGACCCTTAAAAAGACACAAAAGACGACATGTCAGCCTTTCTTGCTACCCACAACACCCCGCTGCTGTTTTAAGGCACCAATTCGGCAAAACACTTTGGGGCCTGAGAAGCGTCCGGTGCACGAGTCACCCTGCTGGAAGGAGCAGCAGGGCACGAGCCTTCGGCAATCGGCTGGACCGGGGCTGCCGGGGAGCCCGACCAGCCAGCTTTCATTTTGTTATGACTTAAGCGACATTCGTCGGTGAGCCCCAGCCTCAAATTGCTGTGTGCTCTCCGTTCAGCTTCGACTGCCGAAGACCAGGTAAAAGAGCCAGATCCTATCCAGTCAGGGGAGGAACCATCACTTTTTCTGCAGCCCAAGTGATGGCCTTAACAAGCTTTCAAAACGCTCAGGGAAGACAGAAAAAAAAATGCACAAGAAAGGAAAGAAAAGAAAAAAAAAAAAGCATCATTACCGTTGGACCGCGCTGCCCCCTTGGACCCGGTTTGCCAGGTGTCCCCTGGAATCAGAAAGAAACATGGGTGAGTTCGGAGGTAGCAGCACCGCAGCCTCGCTGGAGATCCTCTGCAGGCTGGGCTTCAAGCGGGTGAGCACACAACCGAGCCTTTCGCACACAAGGTGCCCCCAATACTTCCTCGATTCTCGTTTACAATGAAAAGACGCTCGTTTTGCTCTTGGCTCCCGATTCTTGCATTTATTTTCATTTATAATGTTTGCCTAGATGAATTTGACATCTAAGGGAAGGGGTTTCTTAAAAGCATCCTTTGCCTGAGTCGTTTAAAGTACCAAAAGAAATTCAAAGACGAGGCCACTGACACGGACCATGCAGCCTCGGCATGAAACGGCAACAGCAAGCAAACACACCAAAGCCAACAAAAAGCTCTTCCACACTGCCACCCCAAAATCTGCTCTCCCTTTCCCTGCTGATCATCTTTTTTTCCCTTCTCGAGCGCCCGACATGCAGAAAGCCGGCAGGTCCCTGTGCTGCAAGCACACAGGTGTGCACACCGCAAGTTGATGCAAGCACATGTTACAAGACCTGCGTTGCTAAATATTTAAGGAATGCCAGCAGCAGGGCTGGACCCCTAACCTAAGCAATTATTTAATGCAACACGAGCCAGCTAAGCTGCCCCACATATTTACACATCTTTCCCCATCTTTGTGAACTTTGTGCTAAATAAGTAATTTAAGACGTTGTTGCGCAGCAGTGACAAAACAGCAGACTAACGAGATCTGACAGATGCACTCAGCTTCCTGCGACGGCCAACTGTGATCGACTCCGACAGAAGGAAGGCAAAGACGGCTGGGTCCTAAACCTAGCAGTACATTAACCTCCATTAGCACGTACCTAGAAGAGAAGTAACGGCCCAGATCTCGCTTCCTGAAAATACTATTTTGGCTGGTATCGAGTTATCAAAAAAAAAAAAAATACCAGTGGGTTTCACTGTCTTCCTTTGGATCAACAGTCCACTATTTTTACCCTTCCCCTGTCAGAGAAAGGAAGAGAGTCACTTTCCCTCTATGCAAAGAACAAGGATGCTTAAAATATCGCTTGCCATTTTCTGTCCCAAATCCATCATTTCAAAATCTTGACTTCTCTTATTTGGCGCTCATTAACGAGTCAAATATAAAACAGGAGCTGGAAAACTTTGGAATCAACTTTTTTCAAGCTACTAAAATTAGCCTTGCTGAATCCTCCTTGTTCTGTGTCTCCATTTAATAAACATTGCTGGCATGCTTTTTAAAATTAATTACAAAAATCATTATAAAGTCCTCCATCTGTTTTCCCTTAAACTATGGGAGGCTAAATGCAGATCAGGTGTAGTGGAGGGCAGCCTGCCTGCAGGTAGCCCCATACAATCCTTGCCTGCTTTTTCAATTCTATTTTTAGGCAAAATTTTACTCCGCTTATTGCTATCATTAATCATGCATATAGCACTGCGTACTGCTGCTAAGAATTTATATGGTGCTGGTGTGTAAACACTAGCCTAGATTTTTCAAACAGGGATATGGAAGGAAAGGCTTCTAAATTCAGATTATTTGCTAGACACCCAAATAAACGGCCTGGATTTCAGCAGCTCCGTGCACCCTCTAGGCATTGTCGGACAGGGGAGGGCAGGACGATCTATTATCCTGTGCTAATGGGAGAGGCTTATTAGCGCTAAAAACAAAACCACTTATTCACGTCCCTAAGTATTGATTTTCCGAGGCAGTTTTGAAAACGTCCCAGAGAACTCACCCAGGGCCACCCAAGCAAGGGCGGCCAGACGCGCTCCTGGAAGCTGTGCCGGCCCCGGCGGCCGGAGGCGAATCCCGAGGGATAACGGAGACTAGCAGCCCCGCAGCACACGGCGGGATAACCCGCGTGGAGAGGGCAGCCTCACCTTCGCACTCCAACCCTGCGTTGGCGTGCCACTGCCCTCTTTAAAAAGCAGGATTTTCTTCCCAAAGGAAGAGGCTCCCGCTATGGCAGCAGAGGAAGCTCAACGCCTTCCTCAACAGAGATAGACGTACGACCTGTTTGCCGGGCCGATTAGGACGACTGCACATCGTTTGTCAGCACGTTCGACCTGGACCGCTCAGAAACGCTGTCCCTCTCTACGGCTCCCAGGAGCTGCCTCCCACCCCCAGAACAGAGCTGCAGAAAATACGTGAAAACATGCCCTGGGACCAGTGAATCGCTTGTCAAAACCGTTGCGGTATGTAGAACAAGCCACAGGCAACATTTTGAAGATGTCAAAAGTCTTTTTTGCTCCCTTAACTTTACCGGCCCCTTTATAGGGCTGGACATTTGGGAGCTGCACGTGCAGGTCTGGCAATCCTGAGCTCCGCAGGGCTCCGGCAGCGCTGCAACCCGGCCGCCTGGCCCGAGCCTAGAGAGCGCTGCCGACACCGCTCTTGCTGCCTTTATTTTTCACTACTTTTTTTCTTTAAAAAAGGAAGCCTTTTCGTGTTGCTGAAATAATGAGCTGGAACGCTTATTTCAGTTCTTAGATGGTGACAATCATAAGAGAAACCTGTGATTCTTAGGATTTTGAACCCATAAATAACTGCTTTGGACATTGTAATAGTAATATCTTGTAAAGAAAAAGACAAACAGAAATGATTTTTGGATGTTTTAGCTGCAAACTGGGTTGCCCTGCATTGCACCAGGGAAGTAAATCTTACCAATACTCTTTGTTGACTATATGTAGACGTGCTCATAAAACAGCAAATTTCCCAGTCTCAGGAGAAATGGTATAATTTGTTGAGTCTAACTCAGTGAGGCCTAAAGTTCAGCTTAAGCTGATGGTCTCCATTTCATTTGGTGTGGTATGAGATCCTAGCTCTGTTTCTCACTCCGTATACAATCGCTCTTCACTTATTTCGAACCAGATACTTGGGAGAAAAAAAGAAGGGACACCAGAAGAGTAAATGAAAAATTGCATTTTTGCTACTCTTAAAATTTTTTCGAGCTGGACTCCTCCTAACAAAGGGCAGATTTGTCAATAAAAGCGCTCTCCCTCTCACTCGCGCCCGTGCAGACCAACGCACCAGCAAAATTAGCACAAGATGCTCCAACTGTGTATAAAACGGCCTAAACGGTCCAAACATTTGACACGCACAATTTAAAACAACGGTAAAATAAAAAAAACATATTTCCATCCGACAAGGCCAATCCCTCGCGGGGCGGCGCGGCCCCTTGCCCCGCTCCCTGCACGCGAAGCCTCCCCTCCTCTCTCTCCAGCTTCCTCCTCGCGATGCTTTCACGGCCCCTC